CACCACTACAGTCTTTGGAGCCTGCGGTGTAGGAGCGCCATTGTTTAGTCGCTGTGTAGCCTGTGGTCTCCCATTGGTCTGGGAGTAGGTATTGCTCACCGTCACCAACTTTGCAACCTGCAAGCCACTGTTTACTTTATAGCGTACCATAAGGATGACGATAAAGACCAACAAAGTGGCTACGATCACTCCACCAATCACCAAGATCATGGTTCCTCCTAAAAACTGACTGTGCAGTGACTGGCAGCGGGGATACTCGTCACGTGTCTCAAACTGCACACAACCCACTATGTTCGTCGCAGTGAGTGTGGTAGCGGTGTCTTCCCAGATGGCCAACACGCATAGGTCATACTGCATCCCTGGCATCAGGTTGTTGACCAAGAAGGATTTGCTGATCACCGGAATCATCCTGTGAACAAGAAGACACAGACATTAACACTGACTCTCAAAGTTCAACAGAAGACTAATCATTAAGTAGATGCAGTAGATTGAAACCAGCAGTATATCATACTGAAGGTGGTTATTAAAATGCACATACTGATTGCTCATTGCTTTATTGTGGATGCACACGATGCTCTGTGCGTTGGCAGAAAACAATCATTAATCCTTTTATTATGGTGAAAACTTAATTACTTGGAAAGCACTGATCATATCAACCTTGGAAGTTAATTTAGATGAAATGATTTTGAAATGAGGTCTATTGTGCAGTCAATGGAGCCAGAGATAAAAAGCAGTTGTTTTTGACTGACTGGAAGCAATGTGGGGATTACGTAAATATCACTATTTGAAAATGTACTTGACGCACATGCAACATTCCTGTCAACACTGAATCATTAAAACAGGCAAAGCATGTTTTTGAATGGTAATTAAGTAAATATTGTTTTGGAAAGGGGGAAAAATAAATTAATAACATTTTTCTTTTAGGTATCTGAATTGGTTAAGAGGATAGATCTTGCTTGATAAAAAAATATATTTCCTTAAGTTCTTTTTATGTAGTACTCCAGCACTCGACCTCCTAAAAAGCACCTTGAGTACAGAGGGCATGTAATCACAAGTGATCTTTTTTTTCTAACTGCATTAGCTCATCATTATCTGGTACATTCTTTGCAGATACCTTGCTGTGGATGTAGACCGAGAATACTAATTAGAGTGCAATCATTTACCTAACTACCCTGCTCTGAGAAGGTTAGTTGAAAAGGAGTGATAGAAGTGTCTGAGACTATTTTCAGAATATGGGCAAATAGAAGAAAAAAATTACAATTATATACTGTATTTCACATTTTATTTTTGTTAAACCACAAGCAATAATAAGAATAAAAATAAGATTAATATGTGTATATTTGTCACTGGGGTTCAATGCAAAATAAGACATACAAATAGGAACCCAAAAATGAAAATTCTGTCATCATTTACTTACCTACTTGCTGACCCCTATGACTTTCTGCATTGCAACACGAAAGTAAATGACTGTTTTCCATTTTCTTTTTCATGCAGATTAGTGAACAAATCAGATCGGATCTTTTCAATTAATTAGCTTTCATTGATCTAGTTTTCAGTTTATGTCATCCAGTTACAGCACTTGC